AAAAGTGAAATTTATCAGTTCTATGAAACCAAGAACTCGTTCTAAACATAATTGTACTACTATTGAACAAAAACTCTCAATTGTATTATAAAGACATGAAATTTGAGAACCTCGGCACCGGTTTTAGCGGCGGCTTCGACGACTTGGAAGAGCTGTGACGGCGATATAGTTCCGGTGGCTTTAGCGCCGATCTTGGATAATGCGTGTTTGATCAGAAACTTGAGACACAACAGCTTTTGTTCGGAGTCTGTTAGAAGAAAACCCATGTCGGAAATTTCTAGTTACTGTCCGGTATGGAAATGAGTTTTTCAGCGGAAGAGAGGATGATGTCCGGTATGGAATTTTTTTATCAATTTCTTTCGTCGATTTTTTTGGCTTTTAGTAAATGTGTGGATGATAGAAAGATGAAAAAAATACCATTTAATTTAAAAAATTTACAATGATCGGCTATCTTTGTGGTGTAAATGAATAAGCTTAGAAAAAGATGATTTTTAATAACATAGTAGAGGATACAGTGGAGTTTCTTCTTCTACATCCTTCTTCCAACAATGGAGAAAGCAAATGTTTCTGAAATATTCAAAGAGTAATAAAAGATCATTTGCAAGTAAAGTAACCAAATTCAGAGACTTGAGATGGTTGAAAGATGATGCTCGCAGTAGAAGCCAAGCCGAGATGTTTGATTCGAACAATTTACGAAAAAACAGATACAGCCACATTTCTGAATACAAGTAGAGGACCAGATGAGGTAGCTATTCAAAGGAAATGATCAGAAGCAGAACTGAAAATATACCATATGATCGGTTTAAAAGTTGAGGTTTCTATTACAGTTTCGTGTAATCCTTTCCCCACAACGGATTCTTGATTTATACTCAATTCACTAAAGATTACTACAGATGAATCCAATTCCTCAACCATTGCAGATGGAAGAAGCTTCATTGCGAATTTCGCACTACCAACGCAATGCCATCAACACCATCTAAAGTGACTAGTGCAGATGAATCCAATTCACAACCTATTAGATGGTGTTGATGATTCCAACAAGATTTATCACATCAAACCATCTAAAAAAATTACTGCAGATGAAAAAGTTTCATTACGAATTTTGCATTCTTGATTCCAACACGATGCATCACATCAACACCATCTAAAACGATTACTGCATATGAGTCCAATTCACAACCTTTGATCTTCTCCCCATCTACTCAAATTATCCTTCACATTCTTCTAGCATTTTCAATGCGTCAAATATCTACTCTCAACATATACAAAAACTAAAACATTGGCGAGACTCACGAACCCAAACCATTCATATTCCAGTCTATAATCGGAATTTCAAAATCCTTAACCCTAATTCCCAAAAACAAAACTCGCCAGCTAACGATCCTGCTCAAATTGACAGAGAGAAAGTGAGAGCTGAGCTTCATCGCACTGTTTACGCTTAAGGTTTGTTCCGCCGCTAGAGCAAAGCGATCTCACCCCCTCAGGATATATCTCCGCAAACGCTTTATTCAGATGACTGGAACCGGGACCCCTTGCCGGTGGCACTGTAACAGAGCTTCCTGTAATCGATCGCAAGATCTCATCGGAATCTCTCTGATACCTTTTCCGGCGAATCCGTTTGATTCATCGGAATCTCTTGTTTTTGAACAAAGCTTCAATATCGAAAAAAGACAAAACGAGTGCCAAAAGCATCCCATTTGCCAGAAATAGGTCGAGTTGTAGCTGTGACATCCGTGGAAGGAGATGCTTTGCCTTTGGCCTTTTGTGCGGTTGTAGACGCTGAAGTTGATTTTGAAAAATTTGCAGATTGTTTACGTGCTGTTGGAGCTTCTTTAGTGATAAACACGACTTTTACTCACGAAAAACAAAAAAAAATCCTCATGAAAGAAGATAGACATAGACATGGTGATGAAACTTGCCAATTACTAGCAAATAACAAGATAGACACGTTCATCCAGAAAATGGCCAATAGATCTCTAATTCAGCCATGTACCAAGTTTAATCGAAAACTGCAAATTTTGACATAAACCCCAAAGTAAAATCAAATAAATTCAAGTATTATTAACCCATGTAGATTTCGACTCACACCACCAATTAGATTTCCAAACAACTCAATATCAAACCATAAACGAAATTTCTCACCAAACCTTGAAGATTTTCTCAAAGCTTACCTTAGCAGATCGAGAAGGACGATGGGATGAGTGGAAAGGGCACTAAATTTCGTATGAGATCACCAAAATCAGTCAAGAATCAAGAGAGTTATGTAGGTTTGATTTAACTTGCTACTCTCCAAATCGGGCTGAACTCCCTGTTTTTCTACTAGCATTTTTCGTCTTTGTATTTTCCTCAAATTGACACGCCATCACTAAAACTCCCATAACGTTTGATCCCTACCGTTGAAATTGCTTCCAAATGAAAGGTAACTCAATGGTCTACCTTGTGCCAATGTTTCATCGGTGGAAACTTTTTCCACAAGTGCCAAACTTCTTATCCTTTTCTACTCCTTTGCTCTTTTCCCCTACCCTTCATCCAAACGTGTGGAATACTGAGACGTGTTGAAAGTGGTGAGAGTGAAGTCGTTTGCCGAACTCACGAGTCAGCGTGAATGGCACTGCTTGGCTTGGGAATGGCACTGCTAATACACATGCC